AGAGTTATACTCCTTTCTGTCGGTGTAATTACCCCTTTTCTTTTGAAACACTTTTACCTTGTCGTTCTCCACTATTCTGGGATACTTTCTTTTGTTTTTTTCTCGTAGTTTAAGATTGACCTTTACATTTATTTCATTGTCGTCCTTGTGTGCTTCAGACGGTGTCATCCTTGTTGATGAGTGAGATGTGCTGTTATACTGTTTCAATGCCGGCGTTAGGGCGTCGGTCCATTTCATGTTGTTAAACCTAACTCTATCGTGAATTTTGTTTTTCATCGTTCTAATAAAACGCTCGGCCACATTTGCGTGGGTCTTCGTAACGATGTGGTTTATTCCTTCACTGTTGAAGAAATCCTGAACGTGATTTTTAGTTGCAAACGCTCCGTCGTCATCAGAATACACGGACATCGGATAACCCATCTTTTTAAAGCTTGCTCTCAACGCCTTCAAAACGTGCTCTCCGTCTCTTTCCTCCATCGGTATTACATCTGCTAATTTACTGAAGATGTCAATCACGACTAAAGCATACTGTGGAACGTTCTTGTCTTTTGCTAAAGGCGACATATGCATTATGTCTATTTGATATTCATATCGTGCGAATGGAGCGGTATAGGAATTAGTACCTCTATAATTTTTGATTTGTTTATTTGGTTGTTTCTTCAAGAAAGACTTTACATCGTCTATTGTTATTGTTGGGTCTTCTTCCTTTGCCTTCTTGTGTGTCGCTTGTATGCTTCCGAAACCCTCGTCTAAGTCGTAATAGATGTTGCTGATTATTTGGTCTTTTGTTAATCTCGCCATTATATTAAATTGTTAGAAAATATTTTTTCAATATAAACCACCACCCCTCAACATAAAATAAAAACTACTTAAAGAAAAATTGGTATAATATAGTAAGAGAAAAAAATGACACTGTTTAATTATGATAATTGTCCTTGTAAAAATAAAAAATGTAACTCTGTCGTGGGACTAGCTAATATTTTACCTGTTGATGTTTGTAATCTTATAGGTGGTTGTATTAAACCAACATGTTTTGATTGTCGGTATTTGAGAGAAGAAGAAGAGCATTTTATGAGTGATAAAAACATTCCTGAAGAAGGACTAGAAAAAGCAGAGCTTCAGTTAAACATTATTCAACAAATACAAAATAATGATATTACACAACTAACAGGATACCATTTTAGTTTAAAACATTACAGAAAAAACATTGACAGAGTATTTGATATACAAGAAGTTAAAGAACGGTTTAAAAATAGAAAAATGTATTATCAAGCATTAAAATCATACTGTAAGAATAATGAATATGAAGTTTGTGTAGTTTTAAAACATTGTCTTAAAGTTGAAGAATTAAAATATTGGAAACAAAATGGATTTTGCTTTCCAAACCTAAACAGTTGGTGGTCATATAGAAATAACAATTATTATTTGAGACATATTCTTAGCGAATTAATTGAAATTTACACAGACCAATTAATAAAAGGATACGAGCATTATTTTTGTGAGTATAGTATGAGTTGTTATAGTGGTTGTATCGCTGGTGAGATTGAATACGGGTCAAATTAACTTTTGTTTATTAATATTATTATCTTATAATATGATTAAACATTGTTTTATAATCTAACAAGAAGGTTAAGACATTTAAATTAAACCTGAAACCCAGACCAGCCGACCAGCAACCCCCTAGCCAAAACTACTTAAAGAAATATTACCTTATATATTAAGAGAAAAATGAACGGTGATGGAATCAATAATTATATCGATAAAAAATGCTATGATTGTTGTCACTTCAAAAAAGAAAATATGGAATTGTATAAATTGAGTTTACCTAATGAAATTGTGAATAATATTATTAATTATTCAATGGATGGTGAAGAAGACATATGTAAAAATTGTAAAACTTGGAGAGATAATCAATTTTTAATCAAATGTCTGTTGGGAATAAAAAGAATACATAATAGAAATGTAGAAGATGATATTTTAATATTTCTAACTGTAAATAAAATACCACCTTACGATTGTGTTAAACAGTTTCTTAAAATCAGTAAGAAAAAATATGACACGATTTACGATATATTATGGATGTTGGGTTATAGTCAAGAGAAAGGAGAAGATGTTAAAGAAAATATCAAATTATTTATTGAAAGTAAAAAGTTTAATGTTCAGAATACAGTGAGAGATGTTAATATTATTTTTAAAATGATGTATGAAAGAAGTAAGACAAACCAATTAGATTATTATCCTGAACTGAAATTATAATCATAATATAATAATAACATGTAAAATCTTATATGTTATAATTATACTGAACTTTTAACCTATAAATGAAAATTAGTGAGAAAAAACTAACAAAACAAATCCACCGCCAACACCCCAGAACTTGATAACTACTAAAAGGGCTAACTCTTTCAAATGAAAAAAATGTTTGCCCCCAGCCCAACAATGAACAAGGGGGGCAATTACCAAAATGATTACCTTAACGAAAACGATAAATAAGCTCCCTAAAAACCCTCTTTTAAAAACGAATAAGGGGGAATACAGATTTGAGATGAACATAAAAACCAGAACAGGCAACCCTCAACAGACCACCCCCCAGGCCCCCTACTTTTACCATTTTTTTGGGGGTGCGGGTGGGGTGGGGTGGGGTGGGTTGGGTTGGGTTGGGTTGGGTTGGGTTGGGTTGGGGTGGGGTGGGGGGTGGGGTGGGGTGGGGTGGGGTGGGGTGGGGTGGGGTGGGTGGGGTGGGGTGGGGTGGGGTGGGAGTGGGGTGGGGTTGCTGGTTGTGGAACTCAGCCCTAGGCTGTGTGCTTGCTGTTAGCCACGCTGCCCTGAAGCAGCTCATTCCAGCCTGCTGCCTGGGGGGACACCCTGAACTCTACCCTGATGCCATCCTTTCCTCTTCAAACTCGGTCATGGAGTTTAAGGTAGAGGCCAGCTTGTCCTTTTGCCCACAGAGCCACTTGTTGCTTCTCCCCCCTGCGTTTTCAGTGGGGAGCCCAAGGCTTTGGAGGTGCGGGGAAGAAGGATTAGATAGACACCAGTCGCATCCTTGGGATGAGAAACCCCGGCCCTCGCTGCCCTCGTCGTCTTCCGAAGAGGAGCCCGGCCCTACAAGCAGACATGGGAGGGGAGGAGAAAGAGAACTGGTGGTTGAGGCCCCTACAAAACTGGCGGGTTGGAGTGGCTGCGTCTCCGCAAAGGTAGAGGTTAGCACCCAGACCTTTGCCTTGTGACCCTGCAGCGTCCGGGCGACGCAGACATCCTTCCTGAGCACGGTCTCCACGGCAGCAACATTGCCATTCACGAAGCCTCGCTCCTTGTCGAGGTTTCGTGTCAGCCGGAGACGCATCCCCCACCTCCAGCACCGCCTCGCCGCCGCCGGCCTTTGGGTCACATGTCAAGATCATCCCGCATCTGCGCAACTCCATGGACAGGCTGAAGCTGCTGGAAGTCTCCAACAAACACGACGTACAGGCAAGGGCTGAGCTCTGCCAAGCCAGTTCTAAGCTGCGTCAATCTGACTAACCTCGTCCAGGATGATTAGGTCATAGTGGCGCAAGCGGCCGGGCGGGACATAGGCCTCATCAGCCTTGTCGAGTCACCTTGAACGCGGAGTGGATGGTCTGCTGCACTCAGAAACTCAAGGTCAGGCAAACAGGCGTTGGCTGGTTGCGTGGTGTTCTTCGTCTGCCTCTCGGATGCAGGGCGAGTACACGGGGTCAGTGTAGCATCTTGCGGTTCCAAGTGAGTTTGAGCTTGGCTGCACGTCCAACAGCAATTTTCTCCTTGGCCCCGCTGTTGGGGGCAACGAAAACCAGCCGCTTTTGACAAGGAAACGGACTCATTTTTGGTTCCCTTGACAGGTAGGATGGTAGAAGTCTTCCACTTTTGAAGGGAAAGCTTGCAAGGGATCTTGGGTTCCACGTGAGTTGTTCATCTTTTTCATCCCCCAATTTTGCTTGTGCTCCGTTGACACTGCGGACGCCCCAAATCCAGTTTTGTGGCACCGATTGGCGGCGGGTTTTGCCCATCCACAGTTTGCCCCAAACAAATGGAGCCGGGTTCAGTGACAAAATGTTTGCTTTAAAGGATGCCCTCAACGGAAGGCCGCGGGTCATTTTGCAGGCCGAATCCGTCGCATGGGTGACCCCAACCCATGCCTAGCCCCGCCGATTTCCAGCTCAGCTCTCGTCCTTCACATAAAACCTCTTGCTGAATGATCCGACTTTGGATACTTCCTGCATGTTCGCACGAAAAGCGGAGCAGAGAGGGAGGTCGGGTAGATTGTTCTGAATGAGAACACCATCTTCTGATCTAGCAAGCGTCAAATTGCCTTTTCTCAACTGCAAGTTCAACTTCGCTAAGCCTTCGCGCATTGCTCGCACGCGCCTCCAACTGCCAGATGACCCTGGGGGGGGGTGGTGTGGGGGTGGGGGGGGGGCTGGGAGTGGGGTGGGGGTGGGGGGAGGGGTGGGGTGGGGTGGGGTGTGGGGTGGGGTGTGGGGTGGGGTGGGGGGTGGGGTGGTGGGGTGTGGGGTGGGGGTGGGGTGGGGGGTGGTGGGGTGGGGGTGGGGTGGGGTGGGGTGGGTAGAGTGGGGTGGCGTGGGGTTGGATTTGGGGTGGGGTTGGATTTGGGGGAGCTTTTGGAAGGCTTTCCGGTATGGATCCATCCGGCCGGCTGTTCCTCGAAGAATCATGTTGGTGTCCTTTTCGTTTCCATTCAAAACAACCCGATGACCTCAATACAACAACGACACCAAATGCTGGACACTTAGGCGCGTCCAGGTTGGAGCAGGTGTTGCGTCGAATTTCGTTGGGTGTTGCTTTCTTTGCTGCGCTTGAGAGTGGTAGATGTGTTGAGTTGGCTGGTCTTGGTCCATTTGCGTTCACTTCAAGAAATTGCGGGGCCCCTGTTGGTCAAAAGAACGTTGTCTTGTTGAATCCAGCTCCGCCCATTTGGACCCAAGGCCGACCCGTTTTGCTCTCTGGCCAGAACCCTCCGCCTTGCTGATGCAGGGGCAGCAAAGTCGGTGCACCACTAGGCCCAGCAGCGTAGGTAGCGGCTGGCTCTGGAAGTGGTAGTCCAAGGCCTGTGCTTCAGCTATGAGTGGAAGGCCCAAGAGGGTTGTCACGCTTGAACCAGAAGTGCGCTTGAATCAGGAGCGGTTGCCATGCATGAACCATGAGTGTTTGTCATGCTTAAGCCCGGCGATAACGAGTCGTTTCATGATGGGTGTTTTGCTGAGTGTACCGGGTCACGTTTTCTGCAGTAGAGGACAGAACATACTTGAACGTTGGGTCGGCACACATTTGTCTTCACGCATGTGCTCGAGCACTTTTGGTTTGCAGCCGTAGACATCTTAAAAGTTGCACATTGGAATTGCGACCTCCCCTCAAATGACTGAAACGTGTCCAGTGAAACGTGAAACTGCCACTTTAGGTCGCAAAAAACCGGGAAATTCTGCTTTCGGGTTCCCCCCCCAAAAAAAAATCCTCCAAAGGTCCAGGTCCAGGGCCCGAAACGCCCCGCCCGCAGCTGGCGCCAGGTGGGCTCTTCGGCAATCAGCTTGCACCTCACGTGCCCCTTTTGGGGCTTTGCGGCCTAGTTGTTTGGTGGGTTTCCGCTTTGGCTTCCCTAAAAACGACAAGACCCTCAAAAACAGACAAACGAGCGCCCCTGACGCAAAGAGGGACTGGCCCCCATCTAGAGATTTGTTGAAGGGGACAACAATCAAGCATTTGCAGGGGAATCGCTCATGTATTTCACCACACAATATGGGGGAACGGCATCCAAACCCCTTCGTGGCCCCTGCCAAGTCTGACCCCAAAGCCCAGCAAGCAAAGCCCCAAACCCCCAAACCACCCAACCAAAAAAACACACACACCCTCCAAATCCCCAACCCCACCACCCACCCCCCCCCCCCAAAAAAAAAAAAACTCCAAATCCCCAACCCCACAAAAATAAAATGCAAACTCCCCCAACACCATCCAAGGCACGCCGCGGCTTGCAGGAAGAGCTTGGCCGCCAGCAGTCGCAGAGCCGCCAGCGGCAGCTCTGGCTGCAGCGCCAGCAGGGCGGACCACAGCCCCGCCTGGGCTGGGGGTTGGGGGGGGGGGTGGGGTGGGAGGGGTGCTGTGGGGAGGGGGGTGGGGTGGGAGGGGTGCTGTGGGGAGGGGGGTGGGGGGAGGGTTTGGTGGTGGGGAGGGTTTGGTTTGGTGGGTGGGAGTGGGTGGGTGGGAGTGGGCGGGGTGGGGGTGGGTGTTCGGCGGGGGTCTTCCGGACTTCGGTTCCCCCAACAAGTGGCTCCACATGTGGCCATGGGTCAAAACCCAAATCGGATAGCCCCCGGTGAACATCAACCAATCCAACCACGAAAATTGGTTCTACAATGGGGTGGTGCACCTACCCCAAAATGGGATCCCATTGGTGTTGTGAAAATAAGGTGACCTCCCTCCTTTTGAACCCTGAAAGCTGCAGCTGATTTGGGCAACCCCAATAGCTTTCAGCTGTACGTGCAGAAGCTGGGCGCTGCCTTTTGTACCGGGAGCAATGTTGAGGATTGGGGAAGCACACATGCGGACAAAGAACAAAAAGAATCAGAGTGAATCAGTGAAGGCTAAGGGCATGGTCCTACGATGGACACTGAACGGGTATATGTTGCAACCTCCTTCTTGTCCATGGCACTGGGGCAGGGGCACTCTGTCTTGTGAATCCAAACCAAGCCAAACGATTCTCTCAGTGAAAAGAAGTTGCAAAATCTAGCGCAAGCTGCAAAATCTGGCCATGGTCGAGAGAGGTGGATGACTGTCCCACCTTGTTTATCCCTCGCCGCAGCCGTGCGATATTGGCAAGGCATTGAGAGCCCAGTGTACGCTCTCAAAATTCAACTCCCTCGCCTGAATAGTGGAACATGTTAAATGCCACACCGGCTACACCCGAACACCGTAGTCCAGGACTGCTGGCCATAAACTGTTGAAGTTGGAAACTGAAACTGCGTTCACCCGTTGAACGCCCATGAAACTGATGCGACTGCTTTCGAACTCTTGATTCATGATCCATGATCGATGACAAGCGACTAGGGCAGCGGTAGACCCCAAAAGACCTGACCTACGATCCGGTCGGGGCCCACCAAAACACCAGCAGGCGCCGCGCAAATACCTGCGCCCACAAGCAAGGCGAGAAGGCCCAGGGATAATTCGCAAACCATGCCCACAAAGCTGAGTTGGAGGACAACCGGAAGTTCGCACGACCTGGGCTGCCGAAGCCGGTGCCAAAATCGAGACCACACATCCAGTTCCATATTGCCAAAGGACACGACTTTCTGAGTTGCTATGGCATCGGCAATCGATGGCAAGGAATCATCGGTTAACGATGAAGTCCGCTTCCTCGTTAGTCTGCAACAGGGCTCTAAGTCCGACATTCTCCAAGGCTCACCCACCGGTACAACGTGAAGGTTCTCCAGTGCAATCAGCCGCTGGATGAGCATTGTCTCCTTTGGCATTCACTCTCAGGAGGCCTGCACCAGCAGGACTTGTACGTAACATCTCTCGGGTGACAATGGAATCCTCGATGACTTCACCAGCAAGGCAGCAAACGAGGAGCATAAAGGCTGAGATGTTGCAAGCAGGTGCTTTAGGACCTTCCACTTTGACCCTGAACGCAATGGCTCGGGCAACACACAGAGATACTACACTCTCACAAATCGAAAGTAGCCCGCATAGAAAAAAGGACATTACTCAGCGCACGGTTTCTTGGCGATCTGGATCAACATGAAACGTCCAGCCAAGACGGGCGGAGAGGTTCAGTGTAAGGCTCAACGTGGATGTTGCAAGCTAAGCCCAGCCGCTGCCAATGACCCCAGCGAAAGTTACCGTCAAACGGCATGCCTCTGCAAACGCATGCGCGGACACCACCAGGCATGGCGCTGCAATAAATAGCTGGCCCCCAACCAGGGGTGCTTTTGGACCATCCGAGTGTAAGCGACCATGCAAATTTCCGCGAAGGCAGTACCAAAGGGCAAGAAGAGCGTGGCGTCCAAAGTTTGACCACTTGCAGCCAGCAATCCAAACAGAATAAACCAACCTACAGTTCCAAGCAACTGCGCAGCGGCCCAAAGCAAGTGCGGCAGAAAACGTCGGCTCGGACGCAAGTCAATCGTGTAGTAGTTGAGGAAAGGCGCAACCAAAATCATGGATGACGTTCCTACAGAGCAAAGGGTAAACTCTGAGAGTTTCAAGGGCTACACCGCTACGATACTGATCGTGCAAGCGAAACACCCAATAAGATGGGTATGCATTGCTCTTGAGCCCGACAGTGCCACTCAAGTCATCTCGGTGCAACATAATTTTGCCTGGGATGCACCAGTTCAATGCTAAGAGCAAATTGGTGGTCCTCTGGCACCGTGTGAAGTGTGCGCTTGGCAGCCAGCCTCCAGGCGCCTGGCAAACTCTTCGACTCTGCTTTCCCTCGCCGACCAGGCAATGGTCCGTGAACGTCTGGAATACCATCCACCATCCAACACCAACGCTCACGCGCCGCCGTCGCAAATCGCGATCGATGTTTATGCGAAGATCTTGTGACCTGCAACCAGGAAGCGTGGGCATTCACATACCTTCAGCCACAGGAGCGAGAGCTACATGACGTCAAGGTCGAGCTCTCGTGCTCGAGCTCAGCCACGTCTCGCTTATGGAAGAGACAAGCCATCGAGGCCGTGGGAAGTCAAAGGACCTCAAAGCAGAGTTCCTCCAAGGATACATTCACAAACCCACCTGCCTCAGGATTTGGAGCCTCCGCAACCGAAGGATGATTGTTCAACTGGCGCAGTCGACGGGATCGATCCTTTTTCCGGGACCCTGCGTCCGACCTCTATCATTCCCTTCCAGAACTTCCTGTTTCACTTCAAAGGGGAATTTGGATCAGCCCCACAAGGCTTCTTCACCAGCCAGGCCCCCCAGACCCCCAGACCCCCAGACCCAACCCCCAGACGCCTCGTGGAGCAGGGTGTCCCATTGCAGAGCCATAAAGTCACTGCCGGCGTAGAACAACGCGCGGTAGATGAGGCACCTCGAGAAAGCCAAAGGCCTGCAATCGTAACTGGGCTGTCCGTTTTCTCAATAAAGTGCCTAGCTGTTCGTGGGTTAAATGGAAACCCAACCACTCAGAAAAAAAAGGAACCGGAAGGCTGAGAACTGCCAAGGTAATGGCTCTGCTGTGCTGCTTGTTGCGGTTCATCCTCGCTTGGCTTCTTTCAGTGTGTCCCGTTCAAAGCAAATCTGAATGGGTCGGAGTTCAACCGCATGTAGTGAGAGCTACCGGCAAGAAGGTGTTCGACTAATCTTCACCCTCCCCGTTTCCTAGAGGAACAAAGAATCACATTCTGGAAGGTTTGAAAAAGCAATTTGTGGGTATAGGCACGTATGTCTCCTTACATATGCCTCACTTGCTTTGTAGAGAGTTGTAAGGAGTCCTTGCTGACCAACATGGCAACTCACGATGCAAAGACGTCGAAAGGGCCACGCCGTTCTACACGTTTTGTTGCTTGCGTTTCATCAAGGTTTATCATAGAATATGATTGCAGTCTTGAGGTGCTTGTCGGGTTCTCAGTTGTTCAGTGACCCTGGAAAAAAAAGGAACCCTTTTTGGGGAAGACCATTTCTAGTGGGGCAGCCACCCAAAAGAAAAAGGAAAAAGGGTGCCGCTAAACAACTGAGGGTTTCTAGAGTTGTGTGAGTGTGTTCACTTTTCTGGAAGTGCTTTCGAGTGTTGTTGGTTGAAAACGATATATTCTACTAGCACAACCCACATTGTTCCCAGTCTGTGCGAGTCCTCCAGAAGCCTCAGCCCCCATTTTGATGTGAACCGATCCCTGAAAGGCAGGGTTGCTTGCGTCAAGTAAGCGCCCCATTGTCCAAACTTTCGCATACATGCTTACCATTCAATCCAGCTCAAAAGTTGTGAGGAGAGAGACACTCCTGGTTGTGAGATCGTTCAATTCCGCCCAATAAGGCCCTTCCAAAGCGCCCTAATCAAGTCGTCAGCTCTCTGCTTGGCAAGTGTGAGAGAATCTAAGCAATCTATGCGGTTGTATCACGAGGCATCTCAGCTGCTTAGGGCTTAGCTCCAGGCATCACAATATATAAATCAAATGTTAGCAGTAGGGACTGCAAATTGGTTGCTTCACCCTGATACAATCTCCCAAAAGCAATATGCCTTGACTCATATATATGACCATATATATATATATATATACATATATATATATATACATATATATATATATATGCCCAGTGCTGATCTGACGCGTGTCTGAACTCCAGAACGGGTCTTGTACCTTTTCGCATACGCAGACTCCAGTTTAGGCAGCCTGCTGTTTTTTGAACCCTGATGTACTGGTATTGGCGTGGCACGTGCTTGAGTACAGTAGCTGGTTGCACTGGTTGCGCCATTTAGATGGCTTCGGTTTCCACATAGCCTCCTATGATGGGTGTCTGGGAGCAAAAAAACAAATGGTCCCCTAAAATGGTTGCCTAGGTCCTCCAGTAGAGAGGTTAGAATAAGGGTACCCTTTTTTCTGCAGTCTATTTTAGTACGGGAACCCCAAAAAAGGGCTTTCGGGGCACTACTGGGGGGACCTAGTTGGGTTCCTCATGGTTTCCCCTGAAAACCATTCAATGAGAACCAGATGCGACTGGCACGGAAATCGGCAAATCGGCGACTGGGACCCGGGCTGCAACAGCAACAGCAGCGCCCCAACCTGGGCGAGTGGCTGATAGCAGAACCAACCTGAGGAGCAGCAAATCTCCTTTTGGTTAGAAATAGATGGCCATGGGTCAAAACCCAAATCGGTTAGCCCCCGTTGAACATCCCAATCCCCACTAAAATAGGTTCTAAAATGGGTGGTGCATCTATCCCAAAATGGTACCATTGGTTTTGAACCATGGCCAGATGGGGGTTCCAAGTGGCAAAAGGGAGGAGTAGCACACATCTAAACCAGGGGAACCCATCTATGTCTAACCCAACTAAGCGATCAAAAGGGAGCAAACCCATCTACATATCCGCCGACATTGCTCGGCGTGTCGGATACTTACTAGGGAGATAGAGGCTAACCCCCCCCCCTAACCCCCCCCCGCCCGACGTCTATTACGTAGGTTTTTGGGGGGGGGGGGTCCCCCACGTACCGCGCGGCAATTTGATGACGTTCCACTAAACGTAGTCTTCGGGGAGCCGGTGTCGCAAAACAGGGGTCCCAGGCTCGATTCCCCCTGCCGGCTTTTTTGCTGGCTTGGGCTTCCTGCATCCTTTTGCCGAAAATCTGGAAAAACTCAATGTTTTTGGCGTCCTCTTTGCGAAAACGCTGGAAAAACCGTGTTTTTTTGCGGGAAATACATGCATATGCATGCATACATACATACATACATACATACATACATACATACATACATACATACATACATACATACATACATACATACATACATACATACATACATACATACATACATACATACATACATACATACATACATACATTACATACATACATACATACATACATACATACATACATACATACATACATACATTACATACATACATACATACATACATTACATTACATTACATTACATTACATTACATTACATTACATTACATACATACATACATACATTACATTACATTACATTACATACATACATTACATTACATACATACATACATACATACATACGTACGTACATTACATACATACATACATACATACATACATACATACATACATACATACATACATACATACATACATACATACATACATACATACATACATACATACATACATACATACATACATACATACATACATTACATACATACATACATACATACATACATACATACATACATACATACATACATACATACATACATACATACATACATACATACATACATACATACATACATACATACATACATACATACATACATACATACATACATACATACATACATACATACATACATACATACATACATACATACATACATACATACATACATACATACATACATACATACATACATACATACATACATATACATACATACATACATACATACATACATACATACATACATACATACATACATACATACATACATACATACATACATACATACATTACATACATACATTACATACATACATACATACATACATACATACATACATACATACATACATACATACATACATACATACATACATACATACATACATACATACATACATACATACATACATACATACATACATACATACATACATACATACATACATTACATACATACATACATACATACATACATACATACATACATACATACATACATACATACATACATACATACATACATACATACATACATACATACATACATACATACATACATACATACATACATACATACATACATACATACATACATACATACATACATACATACATACATACATACATACATACATACATACATACATACATACATACATACATACATACATACATACATACATACATACATACATACATACATACATACATACATACATACATACATACATACATACATACATACATACATACATACATACATACATACATACATACATACATACATACATACATACATACATACATACATACATACATTACATACATACATACATACATACATACATACATACATACATACATACATACATACATTACATACATACATACATACATACATACATACATTACATACATACATACATACATACATACATACATACATACATACATACATACATACATACATACATACATACATACATACATACATACATACATACATACATTACATACATACATACATACATACATACATACATACATACATACATACATACATACATACATACATACATACAGACATACATACATACATACATACATACATACATACATACATACATACATACATACATACATACATACATACATACATACATACATACATACATACATACATACATACATACATACATACATACATACATACATACATACATACATACATACATACATACATACATACATACATACACATACATACATACATACATACATACATACATACATACATACATACATACATACATACATACATTACATACATACATACATACATACATACATCACATTCATTCATTCATTCATTCATTCATTCATTCACATTCACATACATACATACATACATACATACATACATACATTACGTACATACATACATACATACATACATACATACATACATACATACATACATACATACATACATACATTACATTACATTACATTACATTACATTACATTACATTACATTACATTACATTACATTACATTACATTACATTACATTACATTACATTACATTACATTACATTACATTACATTACATTACATTACATTACATTACATTACATTACATTACATACATACTTACTTACGTACTTACTTCCTTACATACATACATACATACATACATACATACATACGTACATACATACATGCATACATACTTATGTACATGCATGCATACATACGAGAGAGGGAGATTGGGGAGAGAGAGGCTTGGGGGGATGGGGAGGATGGGAGCAGCGGGAGGGAGAGAGGACGACAGAACACACAAGGGAGACAAGGAAGAGAGGAAGAAGGAGAAAAGGGAGAGGACAATGTCGGCGGACTGAGCCGGAGGCTCTAAAGTTTCTAACCAAACTAAGCGATCAAAAGGGGAGCTCGACCCCAAGTTCGGTCAGTATTCTGGACTGGGAAACCAAAGGGAACCCTGAGGACCATTGGTCTATCCCATCATCCCCTATCCCCATCTACCTTACTCATCCTGGAACTTTCAGGTCTTCGTGTTCCGGAGGGGAATAACTCGCCATCGAGTCCGACCGCTCTTGAAGTTCTCGCCTTCGGCGTCGATTAAGGCGTTCGGGAAACGTGGAGCCCAAGAAAAAGCAAGGGTCTGGTCAGACAGCTGAGCAGGTCCTTGTTGAACCGCAAAAAGTGCCCAGAGTCCAAACCGAAACCGGAATGGTAAGCACACCCAATTCCCAGGGTCGCTTTTCATGTTGGGATAGACCCCGCACAGAAAACACAGCCACCAAGATCCCACCCGAAGTATCACAACCCAACTTCCACCGTTCCACCAAAAAAAAAGGAGCAGTCAACAAACTTCAGCATTGCCAACGAAGAGTTGGGCCACAAAAAGCTGTGCTTCTGGGTGTTTCCGGAACCCTAGGGCCATGTTTTCCACCCGCCAGCCCTCGCCCGCTGTGGGACTGTGGGGCCCCGGGCGCTGCGGGTGGTCTCGAAGGACACCATGGCAGCGGCAAGGACAGCCAGCAGCAGCCCCAGCCCGCAGAGTCGCAGCCTCGGTCCAGAGAAACGCCGCCAGTATTATTTTTTGGCGGATTCGTCCCCTGGAGGAAAGTGTGTGGAAAATATGTCCAGTGAAATCGATGCCCTTGAAAAACCAACAGGGGACGATATATATATATATATAAACAACGTCTTCTTAAGCAAATGGAAGCCACCCGCGCCCCGAAGGGGCCAGGGGAGGGACGACGCTGCGCAAACAAACCAGCGGTTGAAACGAAATGTTGGCGAACAACATCAACGCCCAGATCGTGATCAATGCGGGAAAAACGTTCCTCCAGCGGGGCCGCGAGTGGGCCAGCGGCCGGCGGCCATGCCGTAGCAAGGTCTCTTCGCGGAGAATAAAAAAATAAACGAAAGGTCCAGAGAATCCGAGACAGGGGGAAAAACAAAAGGTTTCGTTGCAAAGATCACTGTGCACTATTCAAAAACTACTCTCCAGGGTGGCAGCTGAAGCCCCCTTCACCTTCCAAGGTGACTCCGCTTTTTTGTGCCAGTTGGAAGCGGCTGGCCGGCTGGATAGATGATGGCTCTTGCGGAAAATGGTGTCCATCAGACATGTCCACAAACCTGCAAATGTTACCATAACTCGGAACAAGCTGCATTTAGTGATCCCTTTCCTTTCGTTGAGCCTTGTCCGTGTGTTGAGGGATCACGTTATACCCGCAGGTGCTATGAAATGGGCAAAGACATGCATAACGTCGTGTGTCCCGAAGTGCGCGGGGCTTTGGAGTACTGTGAGTACCGATGCCTCGGTGTAGGCGCCACCCGGGAGGTCCTCTAGAAGGCAGGGAGAAAAGGAGTACGGCAGTCCCAGCAGAAACCAATTCATGTCAGGCCATCTTTGAAGGTACAGGTACTTATCGCCACATGTCATCTTTGACGAAAATTCTCAGACCGGAACTTACCCCTTAAAACTCCAAGCCCTGACTAAGTTAATCTTTTACAGACATATAGCCCATGTTACCCAACAAGTTGAAAAGTTATGTTTTTAAGAGGTAAGGGAAATACGGGAACCCCCCAAGTACCGGACCATCATGGGTTCCACTCGCTTCATCCCCGACTCGTCCCGCAAGCCTTGGAGCTGAAGCTTCGAAATCTGGGGCCCGTCAGGTGTGGCGCGTCTTTTGTTTGGGGAGAAGCCCCGAGTTTTGGTGGTTTCAAAGGGAAACCAACAGGAGAACCGCCGCTGTTTTTGAGGGGGTCCAACCAAAGCGAAGACGCCACTTGGGCAAAGAGCGTTGACCCAACCACCCCACCGCACCCCACCCCACCCCCATCCCCGTCTGGGTCTCCCCGCCCCGGGCGCGGCTGCCCGAAACGCAAGACGGCCGTCAACAGGTCCAGCGCCACCCGCCTCGCGGCTCGCGGGGACAAAGCGCGCTGACCGGAAGCTTGCGATCGCTGCGAATTCGGAGTCCCTGTGGAATGGAACGAACCAGGCTTTGGACCCCTTAAAGGAAACCAGGGGGAAGGGAATGTGAAATGGAATGAGCGTTGCTTCGGGCCCAAAGGAAACCACTTGATGGTAAAACAAAGGGTCAATTCATTTCTCGTTCCCTGCCTATCGCACCAGCAAACTCGTGGGAAACCCCAGATAAATCTTAGGTCTCTGCGCATTTACCCTCCTGCCAATGAACAGACGGAACCTACCTTCGGGACCCGGTCCATTTAAAAGGAAAATGTCCAAACCAGGACCCCCGAACGTCAGGTTCCATGTTAATTGGTGGGAGGGTAAGTGGTCTGCAAAAAATATAATGTCCCTGGCACGTCTCAAAAACCACGGAGCCCCGGCTGGCTTCAAAGGAAACCAAGGAAATCAACTGGGTCTCTTTGTTTCACCTTGGCCCAAAAAAGGATTGGAAGAACAGGGCCCTTCTTCATGGCTTCCGAACAGTCATCTAAGCGTTCTTTTGTTTTGACTTATGCGGAAACATCGAGGGCCAAACTTTATGTTGAGTCTGGGGACAACCTCAATGTTGGATTACTGACCCCCTTGATGACAAAGCTTGGAGTTGCAACCAATGATAGCCGGAAAACACGCATCAAAACTTAGCTAAATCTCTGACACCTGGGAGCACGCAAAGAATGGGCTCCCGACCGAAACTTAGCCACAATTGCGAGAGGTCCTTTGAACAGCCGATAAGAAATTTGGGGACGAAAAATGGGGGGAGGGGGGCCGAAGCTGGGTGGCAAGTGCCAATGGAAATGGCAGACGGGTATACTGCTTTCCGAACCCCAGTGAACAGGCCCCAACTTGAATACGACCCCATGATCCGTATTCAACCTCGGAACATCACCCAAACAAATGGCTCGCGGCCCTGAAAAAAGAGAAAGCCAATCATTGGCCACAAACTGCCAATCTGCCGCCAGACAAAACCCGGTGATTTAAGTATGGAAGTGAGCAATCGCTAGAGACTCGCTTTGCCGCTTGCTTACACTGGCGCAGAGATGCCAAGGCATTGTGTTCACCAGGGAAGGAAAACAACGGCTCTCCCGGCCAAAATCTTCGCGTGCGCGTTACTTTTGACATGTGCCGGTCGTATGTCAGGGCTTCCCAACTCCGCCATTGTGCGTGTTCTTGGGCTTCTTGGGCAAAGAGTGGACCAAGCAAAAGGGGGCTCCTTTGCTTAACAAGCCTTGTTTTCTGCAACCCCCTTCTAGAAATGAACAGAACCAACAGAACCGAAAAACAAAACTGACAAAATGCCAAGAACAGTGAAGTGTGTGTGTGTGTGAAGTCAACCAGGCCTGTGGAGACCTTCTGTGGCCGCCGCCTCCCACGAAACTTGACACGGCTTGGGTTTCGGAAACCAAAGCCGTGGTGTCCTTTTTTGGGTAGAAATTGAATAGAAATGGATGGATGGATGGATGGATGGATGGATGGACGCAGGATGGATGGATGGATGGATGGATGGATGGATGGATGGATGGATGGATGGATGGATGGATGGATGGATGGATGGATGGATGGATGGATGGATGGATGGATGGATGGATGGATGGATGGATGGATGGATGGATGGATGGATGGATGGATGGATGGATGGATGGATGGATGGATGGATGGATGGATGGATGGATGGATGGATGGATGGATGGATGGATGGATGGATGGATGGATGGATGGATGGATGGATGGATGGATGGATGGATGGATGGATGGATGGATGGATGGATGGATGGATGGATGGATGGATGGATGGATGGATGGATGGATGGATGGATGGATGGATGGATGGATGGATGGATGGATGGATGGATGGATGGATGGATGGATGGATGGATGGATGGATGGATGGATGGATGGATGGATGGATGGATGGATGGATGGATGGATGGATGGATGGATGGATGGATGGATGGATGGATGGATGGATGGATGGATGGATGGATGGATGGATGGATGGATGGATGGATGGATGGATGGATGGATGGATGGATGGATGGATGGATGGATGGATGGATGGATGGATGGATGGATGGATGGATGGATGGATGGATGGATGGATGGATGGATGGATGGATGGATGGATGGATGGATGGATGGATGGATGGATGGATGGATGGATGGATGGATGGATGGATGGATGGATGGATGGATGGATGGATGGATGGATGGATGGATGGATGGATGGATGGATGGATGGATGGACGCATGGACGCATGGACGCATGGACGCATGGATGGATGGATGGATGGATGGATGGATGGATGGATGGACGGACGGACGGATGGATGGATGGATGGATGGATGGATGGATGGATGGATGGATGGACATAAAACCCATCCAAATCAGGGCCGTCGATGGAAGAAAAATTTATTTAAAACCGGTGGAACCCATCTATTTGTAACCAAACTCCCTGACTCAAAGGACGCCTATGAACAGAGCTGAAAGAGCCGCACAGAAATGAAGCCGAAAACCCATAGGCGGTTTCTGCGATCGCCCGCGACCAGCCTTCAGATTTCCATCCGAAACCACAAAAATAATATCCACATCCCATGGCGGTTTCTGTGACCGCCTGCGACCACCTGCGACCACCGGGACCGCCTGCGACCGCCTGCGACCCTTCAGATTGTGTACAGTGGGCAAAGGTTCCTGCCCGATTGAAAGTTGTTCAACCACAGAATCGCAAGCTGCCAATCCGAGCCCTATTCATAGGTTTTGCTCTTCAGCCCTTGTTCGCCCCGACCGATTGGGGGTGCCGCCCTGAGCCTTCTCCAGGGTTTGGTAAGGCAAACGAATCCAGGCAAAGCGAAAACATGTGAACATGGAGCACGGGAATGAACGAACGAATGAACAAACGACCGGGGGGGGGGGAAACAAACGGCAGGCAAGCGGGAACTGGCAGGCAGGCAGGAACCGGCAGGCAGGCAGGCAGGCAGGCAGGCAAAAGGACAAACAAAGGAACGAACAAACAAACGTACAAGCAAGCAATCAAACAAGCAAACAATCCAACAATTCAACCAGGAAGCAAACAAGCAAACAAACAATCCAACAACTAAGAAGGCAGGCAACCCGGCTAGCAAGCAGGCAAGCAAGCAAGCAGGCCAGCGAGCGAACATTCAATACAGCATTGAAACAAGCAACAGCCTTGACAACAAGAGCCCCTTGTTGTTTTCTTCCGGCTGCGATGAGGCATGCTCGCCCAAGTGGTGTCTTCATCATGTCCTTGGCTGTTTCACTGGAAGATGTTTGGTTGTCCAAGGGCCAGCCGCCGACTCTCGGCAAAGCTCCTTTGCGGTGCTAGAAGCTCCTACTCGCAATGGATCTGCCCTCGACAGAAGTCGAGCTATCAGACGCCCATGCAGTGAATTCGGCCTTTGAGGCACCGGGGGCGGGCAAGCGTGGGGGAACGGTGCACCAGTCGATGAGAATTTTGCACAAAAAAAACACCACTTCTGGCCTCAGTCAAGTCAGGAAACAGGCGACGCGCAGCAAGCCTCCCACACCCACATCTGCTCCTCTGCGTGGTTTCCTTCGAAAACCTGGCAGAGGTATTTTTTCGTGTCTGGCTTGGGTCTGTTGCCACAGCCAGCATCCTGTTGCCACATGGCGCTCAGGGTTCCCCGGGATGTGTCCTCTAAAGCAGCACCCACCCAACGGAACCCGCCAACTTCTCCTGTAAAACAGCACCCACTCACAGCGGAACCCTCCACAGCCCACAGAGGAGTGGCCATGGGTCAAAATCCAAATCGTACCCCCAGTGAACATCATAATCCCCACCAAAATCCCGGTGGTGAACTCACCTACCAACCAAAATGGGATCCCAAAACGGTTCTACATCCCAATCCCCACTAAAATAGGTTCTAAAATGGGTGGTGCACCTACCCACCAAAATGGCAAATCTCAAAACGGTTTTGACCACACCGCCGTGTCTCGCTTCTCGCTCGGCTCACCGCTCGGCTCACCGCTCGGCTCACCGCTGGGCTTCGCTCATGGCTCACTGCACCAGGCCCTGGCCCACCACCATGTCGTCCACCAGCTGCGTGAAGTCCACTTTGGCGACGAGCCAGCCTTGGAGAAGACAGTGTTCTAATGGCTGGTTTCCGAAAGATCTCAGGGCCTAAGGTGCGACCAAAGACTTGCCATGGTATGAACAAAAAACGAAAAGACTAGATGGACTGTACAGAAGTCAGTGTTCTAATGGCATGGTGCCCTCGCTAAAGGGAATGGAGGCACGGAGCACGTAAGTAAGATACCTAGTCTATGTCTTGCAACGCGAGCCAAAAGGGACTTCCAAAACTCTCCTGTCAGTTTCCGTTGGACGGTCGGTGGGTTTCGCTGGCGCGCCCTGGAGAGAAATCGGCCGCTTGACCCAGCGCTTTGAAGACTTCTCGGGGAACGGGGAGATCAACGGCAAAAAGAAAGGAGGGTATCCCCAAACCGCTGTTTTCCCGTGCTGTTTGAAGATCCCACCAAAGTTGGGGGGGTGGGGGCGGCACCCAATAGAAAGTGGCACGGAATAAGTGGGGAACCGGCTCCCGCAGGTTTTGGGACACCCTCAGGGCGACCTTGACACAGTTGAGCCCCCGGCACTGAGCAAAAAGACAGGGCCACAAAGCACCAGGTATCGATGGGTCGGGACTGTCTCGTCACCGGGCCGTTTCTCTTTAGTAAAAACACTTAATCTTCATTGCATTGTTTCTTTAGACATCTAGAGAGTCAAACGGTTCAAACCAATTCCTCGCTGCAAGTGGTGCAATGCCTCAACTGGAACTGAACACGGTAGGCCCAACAGAATCCAGCTTGTGATCGCGAGTGCTGCGAGCGTCTGGGCAATGGAACCTCAAACAGATCTCTGGTTTGAACCATTTTCTTCCAGGGACCATCACCCTTGCCCGTTGCCATCCACTCGCTTGCTGCCCAGCTGCCCAGCACAAGTCCCATGACCTCTGACGGAAACGCGGCTGGGAAATCCCCAGTCCCAAGCTCAGTGAACAGAACAACAAACGCAAGCAAGCCGAGGTTGAAAGCGAAAACGTTCAGTGAGGGTTGATTAAAAGGGTTACCTGTTACCTCGCCGTACGCCGTCGCCCAGCCAAAAGGGAAACGAACCAGAGGAAGACCAGACCGACCACCCACCGGCCGGCTATGACTTTGCTGTCGCTCGTTTGTTTCGTTGCGGGACCAGTGCGCTGCGTCAGGTCTTGACCCAAATATGGCAGGTTTTAAATGTGCACGGTGTGGAAGGAAAACCAAAAACCGACATCCAAAAGGAAAACCACCAATTGTCCAAGAACGACAAAAAGACAAAAACCCTCTTTTGTGTAGAAGGAAAACCAAAAACTGAAATCCATGTCCCAAGGGAAAACAACCGATTGCGGGTCCAACAAAAAATGGCGCACCCATTGATCCAAGGTGACGGTGTGGCAGAAGATGTTGAAGGAGGTCATAGATCTGCTCCAGCATCTGGGTGCGGCTTCAGGCTGAAACGCTGCAACGCGGCAGTGACATGGCGATTGCCACCAATTCTGGGCGTGCGCAAGTATGTGTTTATGAGATATCGGCAACTTTTGCCGATAACTGAAAGCTTTTGAAACTCAGACTTCCAAGCTCAATTCTTACAGTCGTTCTTTGACTTTGTGACCGCGCCCTATATGTCTTGCTGCTGAATGAACCAGACCAAAAAATAGCAAACTCGATTATCTAGCATGGGACATTACGTATGTAAACATCGTTCAAACAGTGATCTCAGTTTCCCTCTCATTGATGGTTCGGTTTGGTTGCTTGGATGTTAAGGGGGGTACCGCCCCCATTTGGCTTCAAAAGGAAGTGGGGTTCAAATCCGCAAACCACAAGTAACGGGTACCTGATTATCCCTGTTGCACGCCCAAAACGAGAACCGCCAGAACTGCGAAACACCATGTTCGGCAGGGCGCAGAGCCTTGTGACACAGCTGATTTTGTCAAGCTGATCCTGACCAATGATTTGAGACACGCAAACAGCCAACCAACCAAACATGGCGTTTCGAAAAACAAACATGCCGACCAACTTGGGGTGAGACAAAGACACAACACAACTTCATGTCAGATCACGCGCCCTTGCTTTGCTTCGCCCTAGCACTCACTCCCCCCTTTCGCTCACCCGCCTTCTGCAACGACAGCACCTGGCAGGAAAGCAAAAGCAGCGCATTCTCCATGGAAAGCGACCCGTTCCGAGAAAGACGAAGTGAGCAGAGACCGAAAAGCTCTCTATGTGCGGGCCGTGGACGCAGTGTTTTGGAAAGCGTGGCTGCGTCCCACGCTTGAACACAACGAGTGTGCCCAACAGCCCTTTGGAGAAGACTCCTTCAAAGCTCGTCAGCGCAGGAATCAACAGTAGATCCAACGGCTAATATGCCCTAGGGCTAGTTTTCTCATATCCCTGGCCCTTTGGGGTTCGACATTCTGTGCCCAATCGTGGCCTTGCAAAACCAGGGTTCGAGTTTCTGCAGGGTTTCTCACCGAACCAATCAGGAAGCAGAAATCTTTGAAACCCACCGGTTCCCGGTGTTTCACCAAGTTTGGTTCATGCCAACCCCTTACAGCCCTGCTTGAAAGCAGCTTTGGGGCGCGTCTGCTTCCACGCGATGAGGCTTGCCGCGCAAGCGGCAGCAACTAAACATAAACTTACATATGTGTGTGTATATATGTGTATCTACGGGCATGAATCTGAATCGGGGACTCTTTGGTGGATATCATTTCGATGCGGATTCATGTCAACCAACCACTTTTGAGGTGGCTCCAACTCTCAAAACTCAGCTTGCCATAGATATTCCTTCAGATGCTCCAGGCAAAACGATTGAAAAATGCAATAAATAGAGGAAGGCACTGTCAGCCGGATTCCATTCCGTATCTCCAGACATCATGCTCGAAATTTCTTTTCGTGTCATTGGGCTGGTGCCCCGGAGCAGAAAAAACACAAAGCCACGCGCCGCAGGTCGGCTCCAGTGGTCGGTCGAGAGGCACTGGTAAAGCGGCAATCGGGGGCCCCTCCAAACTTCGAAGTGGTTGTACTGCTTCCCGGTTTATTGTTTTTTCTTATCCCATCTGCAACACTAGGTCCTGTAGAGAGGTTAGAATCAGACGGTACCCGACTTTTTTCTGTCGCCTATTTTAGTAGGGGATACTGGGGGACCTAGAAAAGTTTCGCTTGGGGGAAACGCTCTCCAAGCACTGATCTGTTCGGGGGGACAAAAACAAACAAAACAGCTGGTGCGATGCTGGAGACCGACTTGGCCCCTCTGGCTTGGACATGAAAGAAACCACCAACCTAAAGTCCTTCATGGATGGCGAGCTCGGATTTGTTTCAGTTGCTCGACGTCCAGGTCTGAAGCCAAAAACCGGCCGCGTACATTGAGTCTCAACTTCCATTTTGCTTATTCGTACCTCGGAAAAGATGATAAAATATGTCCAGTGGTGATAGACTCCCTTGAAACCAACGGAATGGAAGAAAATTAACGCCTGGTACTATCGAGTTCTAACACATGTAAGAATTGAAAAAAAGGCGGGGTCGCACCAAAAGAAGTATGCCGCAAGACTGCCCTTCCTTTTTGGCCTTGATTGTGGCTCGAGTCAGAGGCATAGGTGTCCTTTTAGGGCAAATAGATGGCCCTGGTAGATGATTAAACCACCAGGTAAACCAGGAATCGCCATTTATTTTTCTACCAAAACAACAAAAAGGACACCTGTGGGCAGAGGGCTGCCCGATAATTCGCCAGCTTCTTCCCCCGCCTCCGACGCTCGGAGGAGCGTTGCGACGCCTCTCCTGAGCGAAGCAGGCGAGTTACAGGGCTGTGGGTCAAAACCGTTTTGGGATCCCATTTTGGGGTAGGTGAATTCGCCACCCATTTTAGAACCTATTTTAGTGGGGATCGAATCGGATGTTCGCTGCGGGGACGATTTGGATTTTGACCCATGGCTATATCCAGTCCTGCCGCTGTCCGGTCTTCGGGGGCCTGCGACGCGAAGCCGTCCCGGGGAGCAACATGGCGATTCGCGACGCAGGAAGCCGCTTGAAAACCGCAGGGGATGGACGTCTTTTGGGGGGGTCGATCCCTTACTCCCTGGTTCTCGAATCAGCAACACCCCACTCTGATCCGTGCCTGGAGCGGTCGACTCTTGACCGAAAGAAGCACAGAGACTCACCGCATCTCACGTTGATGCCCAACATGTGGCAAATATACGCACCAACTTGACGGAGTCCCCTCATGCCAAGGTCACTTGATGACAGAGACCCCCTGCGCGAATTGCAAGGCTTTCAATGATGGAACCGGAAAACCTGCAGCCTACCCAAACTTGGTCCATGAAGAAAGGGAAGAATTGTTTTTTCCTCCAAATGTCACACAATGTGATTTTCTTGAAAGTTCATGAACATTGATCCCATGCCAGGAAGACAACCCCGACTTTTTCCCATGGCTTCAATGCCACGGGGGGTCTTAAGCGATTGAACACTACCCTCATTGTGGTTTCCGTTTGGTCCAGACAAGCTACTGCTTCAACGGCCAGATTTGGCCTTTGAGGCGACCTCTCAATACCACACGCTTGACGCCATCCATGCGGATGTCCCCGCCTGATCAGTATCCTCGATGGTGGCAGAGACGGCCTCACGGCAGCAAGTCTCGTGGTGTCCACGATCCCCGAACCACTGACGGGGTTTAATGGGATATAATATATATATATATATGTCTATATATATATATATACACATATACATACATATCTAAATGTGTGGCTATACAATGGGGTGTTCGTGGAAGCCATCTTGCCCAGACGTGGATGCGGCGAACATGCCCGCCTGGGTCGGGGAGGAGTCATAGGCGTCGTAGGCGCCCATCTCTGCAAAGGCGAACTGCGCAACAGTTGCGCGGAGCGAGCCGGTGGGAATGGGACTAAAGCATCCATCTGGGATCCCCCCTACCTTAAGGGGAAGGGGGGGTGGGGGTCTCTGATTCCATTTATTTAGTCTTCCCCATGAAAGGGAAAATGGAACCACAAATGGAATTCCAGGGGTCACCCCGTCCCCCAATTCCATTTTTGAGGGGGTGGGGATCATCTGGGCTATCTTGCGTGCTACGCACCTGATTTTCTCGCTCAGACGAAAGTCTTCAATATCAACCCCAATCCAAACCCTACGGTGGTCCGTGCCCGGTTGTACATGCCAAAACACAGACACTGGAGAAAGCCGGATCAATCCTGGTCACACTTGCGACATGCAGGGGCTAATTTTCAGGCACTGGGACGGATTTCTGAATCACATCAACGAGAGTGCAGAAGAAACCTTGGCCACATGGGACTTGCCGCCAGGGGAATCGTACCGCCACCTAAGAAACCATGAGAAACCATGGAACCAGACCATTCCAGGGCTTCTTGGGTGGTGCGAAATGGATTTCGTCCATCCACACTAGGTCCCTGTCAGCTACAGACCTGTTCCGAACTCTGGGCTCGGTCATCATTCCCATGCGAATGCAAGCACGGATGTCCGTCCTCCAACTTGTTCTCGGACAGGTTCGCGCCCTCAGGAACTCCACGCAAGGCAAAAGTCTACGAGGCGCTGCTCCCATCTAGCCACGGTCGCATATCATTCTCCGGGTCCGGCGAAAAGGAAGGAGTGTGCTTGGTTGGCTCGGGCCATCACGGATTTATATGGCCATGGGTCAAAATCCCGTCCCCGAGGTGAACATCCCAATCCCCACTAAAATAGACTCAAATGGGTGGTGCACCTACCCCAAAATGGTACCATTGGTTTTGATCCACAGCCATATCGGAACTTGTCTTGGCATGAATATGTTTGAAAGTAGGAAACTCACGGATGCAATCATTAGAGTGGCAAATATCACTGGCCGCCTCGAAAACTCTGTCCAAAGCACCAAAAACAGGCCGACGGAGGGCAAGAAGACAGAATGACCACAGGCAAACAGATGGCCACTGTGCTCGCGAGGTCTCGTTCAACCCTTCAATTATAACCTTCACAGACATACTGCGAATGGTTGCGAAATCCATGTCGCACCACTTTGAAACCATGGTTGAAACCACTGCTTGTTGGCATTTACCAGGGAATCATCAGAAACCAGGGTTTCTTAGGTGGTGCGAAATGGATTTCGTCCATCCACAGTATGTACACTGATACCGTATATACACTTTTGTGACGTGAGTGCTGGTCAATCGGCAATGACTACTCTCGCATGCCGGTTTGCCTATAGCTGATATTCTAATTCAGGCCTCTGCCAATGGATGTCATGCTGCGCGGATGCCGGAAGGGGCACCAGGAGCACTGACATGTTGAGTCAGAATCAAACCGTGGTGTTGGAAAGCTCTACCCAGAACCATGTGAAGAATTAAGAAGGTGGCTGCACTGGTGTTATGGTTGGGAATCCCTCCCTTACCAAGCTCTTTCTACCCAGGTTTCGAGCACGTGGCTCCTTCAGGCGCCCACCTCCAGAAGCAAAGTCTCAACTTTGAGGAAACAAGACCGACAGCACCCTGAAAAGAGAAAAACTTCGGCCAGAGGACTCTCCGGTAGGCGTTGAGCAAGTTGGCATTGTACTCCAAGTTCTTCATCCTAGCGGGCTCCGAAACGTCGAATCGGCCACTCGATGTGTTGAAAGCACACGTACATCGACAGGCCGTGGTAGTGCGCAGTTCCCTAGTGGCCACAGGATGAAGGCGGGAAATTCAAGGAGTTGCTTTGCGCATTCATTGCACAACGATTCCACATGAGGATACCAGAATCATAAAGCAGATTGCACACTGGTTTGAGGCCTGAGAAAAAAAACAAAAGCAAAAGAAAGATCGCACGTTCCCTGTGGCTCGAGTCATTTGGCCATGGCTCAAAATCCAAATCGCACCCCCAGTGAACACCGCAATCCCCACTAAAATACCGGTTCTAACATGGGTGGTGAATTCACCTACCAACCAAAATGGTACCATAGGTTATGACCCGTGGCCATTTTTTCCCCAAAAAGAACGGAGCCCCTTGAAGGCGCATCGCTGTCCTCAGGGTACCCTGCACCGACTCGCCCTGGCATCGTCGCTGGGACTCAAAAAACCAGGCCCTGTGTGCGGCAAAAATGCAGATCTCTTGTATCCTCCCGCAAATTAACGTGGAACCTGACGGGGGCCCGGTCCCTTCAAAAGGAACAACGGTCTTCCAGGACCCTCCAAAGGTCAGGTTCAGTGTTGGTTGGTGGGAGAATAAGCCAATTCAATGCAGCTGACGAGGGTGCCACAAAATGAATCTTTGCCCAGTGAAGCCACGCTTAAACCCCTGGCTTTGCCTGGTCCTTCATGGTTCAGGACGAATCACAGAATTGTGCAACAATGTACTCTCATTTGCGGTAATGACAATGGCGCTTGGCTTGGTCCATCAGAGTGCTTGAGTCGAGCAACTAGTCTCAATCTTGAATTTGCGCATGCATAAACATGCATATGTACGTAACGCGTCTCATTCACGCTGTCTGGAAATGACAATCCCCCGCCAGCGCTGTCCTTGCATGCAAGGGTGCACGATGAATCTCTGTGTTATCAGGTTG